GGAGAAGAGGGAGAAAATAGGGTAAATGAGGGAGGAGGAGAGTGAGAGAGGAGAGGAAGAAAGGGGGGATAGGAGAAGGGGGAGAGTGAGAGAGGGTGGAGAAGAGGGAGAAAAATACGGTAAATGAGGGAGGAAGAGAGACAGAGAGAGGGGGAGAAGAGGGGTAAGTGGGGGAGATAGGGAGGAAGACAGGGAGAGAGGGTGGAGAAGAGGGAGAAAAATAGGCATAGGTGAAGGAGGAGGAGAGTGAGAGAGGAGAGGAGAGGAGAGGAAGAAAAAGGGGGATAGGAGAAGAAGGAGGAGAGTGAGAGAGGAGAGGAGAGGAGAGGAAGAAAAAGGGGGATAGGAGAGGGAAGAGAAGAGATAGAGACAGACAGAAAAAGAGATAAAGACAATGAAAAGACAGACAGAAAGAAACAGAGAGATACAGACGAACAGACAGAGAAACAGTACAACACAGATACATGAATAATGACGTTTTTATCAACAATAGATTCATTTTCCTTCTTTTATTTCCAGGAGAAGCCAATTTCAGCAGGTAATCCCCCAGTATGATTGAACTAACCTAACCTAGCAACCCTAACCTAACCTAACCTAACCTAACCTAACCTAACCCAGCTAACTAACCTAGCCAACTAACCTAGCCTGTTCTAGCTTAACCTAACCTAACTAACTTCTTAAACAAGTGGATGTGTTTTGTGTATTAAAACAAAATATATATATATATATATATATGTTTTTATTGTATGTATTTAATGTGTTTATTTTTTTCCATAAACCAAGTCTGTGTGTGTCTCTCTCTCTCTCTCTCTCTCTCTCTCTCTCTCTCTCTAACATGACTCCTTGAATTCTTGAGCATAATACCTTAGACAAAACCTCAGGGTAATGCTTACACTCCAGCATGATAACTTACCTCTGAGCACTTGAAGTAACACCTTGGGCATTATAACACCTAGAGCATGATAACACCTCCGGCATGATAACACCTCGAGCAGTACAACACCTTGAGCATAAAAATAACACCTCGAGCATGATAACATCTTGGGCATTGCTTGCCTCAGGCATGATAACACCTCAGGCATGATAGCACCAGCAGGCATACAGTAACACCTCGAGCATGATAACACCTTGAGCATTGCAGCACCTGGGGCATGATAGCACCTCAGGCATGATAACACCTCCGGGCATAATGATAACACCTCGAGCATGATAACATGGTATGATAACACCTCGAGAGCATTATAACACCTTGAGCATGATAACACCTTGAGCATTATAACACCTCGAGCATGATAACACCTCGAGCATGATAACACCTCGAGCATGATAACACCTCGAGCATGATAACACCTAGAGCATGATAACACCTCGAGCATTATAACACCTTGAGCATGATAACACCTTGAGCATGATAACACCTCGAGCATTATAACACCTCGAGCATGATAACACCTTGAGCATGATAACACCTCGAGCATGATAACACCTTGAGCATGATAACACCTTGAGCATAATAACACCTCGAGCATGATAACACCTTGAGCATGATAACACCTCGAGCATGATAACACCTCGAGCATAACACCTCGAGCATGATAACACCTCGAGCATGATAACACCTTGAGCATGTTGACCCAAACCTGCCTTTAGGGTGACGACTTAACCCCCTTTTAACCGCGATAATGACTTAACACCTCCAGTGTTATAATCTACCCCCACCTCCCTCGGCTAATGGACAAAGTTAACTACCTTGACTGTAAATAAAGCCGCAGCTTGAATACAAAACACGGTAAGCTTGATGGACTAACCTACTAGACATAACAATAAGACGTGGGTTAAATCCTCTCTGTATAAATAGATATATAAATGTATTTATAAAAAGATAAATAGCTAGAACGTTAGGTTAGGTTAGGTTACGAGGCACTTATAGGTTAAATATAATTCTTAAAGTTGGTTAGTTCCCGTTAAAATCAGCCGTTCTCCCTTTCTCTTTGGGGAATTTATTATATTCTGAAACAAAAAGAATATTCTGAAAACTTGAGAGTTGTATGTATATTATGTATGCTGTATGTATATTATGTATGTATATTATATGTATGTGCTCTATTTATATACATTATTTATTCAGCCTAGCTAGCAGTGTGTGGCAATGTATTTACCATGTCCCACACGCTTAATTAATGTGCCTGGCGACATATGGAAGCTGCTAATGTATCACTTGCCACATGTCGCCTGAAAGGCTAGTTGACCCCCCAGACAGAGTAAGGAGTGCCACCTCCCTTGTGTATCTCTGTTTGTCCAGTAAATAGAACCTACGAAAACTCTACAGGTGTTTGTGTTCGCTCCTGTAGATAGAACTTGATACCCAGAACATATACAAGAGTATTCTGAACATAACCCGAATGACTATGCATATTTAGGGATGCTCGTCGCCCTAATATGGATTCTGGCCGATTTGTTTGTCAGCTGAGGTGATGGTGGTGGTTGAGGTGATGGAGGAAGAGGAAGGAGAGGGTGGAGAGAAGAGGGAGGAGGAGAAATAGAGAGAAAGGCAAAGATGAAGAAGTTGTTCAAGTAGTAGTAGTAGTAGTAGTAGTAGTAGTAGTAGTAGTAGTAGTAGTAGTAGTAGTAGTAGTATGGCGACCTGTGGTGTAATGATCAGCATGCTCCCCTTGCTAGCGAGCGGACACAAGGTCGATCCCCTGCAGGGTGGAACTATGGATAAGTTTCTTAACGCCATTTGCCTCTGTCTACCCAGCAGTAATTGGGGACCTGAATGTTAATCGATTTGCGGATCGTGTTCCGGGGTAATGGTTAGCCAGTGCAGTTGGTGAGTTGTCCGGTCTTCTCGGACTATTCCTTGACACTGGGTCACGCAGCGCGTTAACTCAGGGTGTGGTTCCTGTGTTGGCGACAGCTTCTACACCTTAAACAAATTCACGTCTAGGCGGTCCTTGGGCCGGCCATCCTCGTTACACGAGGGTCAACCATTATATATAGTAGTAATAGTAGTAGTTTTCACACTTTTTCTTCCTCTGATAAACACATCTGCATAGGACAGTTGTCTCCTTTCACTTTCTGCCACTCAGCCCACGAGGTGCCAGTGTAAAGGCTCAAAGTTGGCACTACAGTGTGTGTGTGTGTGTGTGTGTGTGTGTGTGTGTGTGTGTGTGTGTGTAACTATTTTCTCTCAAGGTAGATGGTCATAAAATGAACTACTATGAATACCTATTTATTTATATGATTACTTCCCTCCCTCCCTCCCTCCACCTATACCTGGCCAATGCAGAAATTATTAATGAAGGATCAGAAATTTTCCTGAGATGCTGTTATCATGTTTGGTTGATGTCAATATATTTAGTTTTTGGGGGGTGAGGAAGGGTTACGAGTCTGTGGGTAAGGGTGGGGGTGTGGGGGAAGAGTAGGGGTGTGGGGGTGAGGGTGAGGGTGTGGGGTAAGGGTAGGGGTGTAGGGCTGAGGGTGGGGGTGTGGGGGGTGGGATTTTGGCAGCAGGTAAGTTGTTTATCGTCGTTTGCCTCGTGTTGGTCTGGGAAAGTTCGCTGGTGAAGGTAAGTCCCGTTATCTTGGTGGTCAGGGAGAACTTGAGGTGATCACACACACACACACACACACACACCAACCACGTGTAACTTGACCCCTGTACCCGGTGTGACCCCAGACGGAGGCAGCCGGGTATTGTGACCACGACGCCGAACGTGTGACACCATCAGTGGTCTTGAGGGAGGAAGTTCCGGTTATTATTTTACTTTTGCAAGATGAAATTTAATCAACAAAATGTTTATTCGGTGAATATAACACTGAGGAATGGCCGTGGCGAGTCTAGTAATAAGTTATTTCAGTCAGTCACACTCACCCTCAGCCTGTGAGTGTGTCTTGAAGGGACACACGCCTTTATAGTAACAAAATGAGTATACACAACACATAATACGTACATGTGTGTGAGTGTGTGTGTATCTGTAGGTGTATGCGTATACGTGCATATATATATATATATATATATATATATATATATATATATATATATATATATATATATATATATATATATATATATATATATATATATATATATATTTATATATATATACTAGTAAGATGTATGCGTGTGTGTGTGTGTACATTCACAAATAAGCAATGTTTCCAAACCTCACGACGGTAGTATCTACAGCAACAAAAACGAACGGAAATTCGACCACACACACACACACACACACACACACACACACACACACACACACACACACACACACACACATACACACACACACACACCAATCATCCAAAATATAAATAAAAAATTCACCTAATATTATTCCAAAGAACCAAACACCGGAAGATAAACATTACGTTATCGAATTAACATTTATAAAACGTAACAGTAGTTTTCCGGTCTTTGTGGCGTGCAGGTTGACTCCTATTGCATGAGTAGAGGCGTATTTTGTGGCGCGGTGATGCATAGTACTCGTTACCCCTGAGCTGGAACCCACAAAAAATGTTCTAGCCTTCATGGTGGTGGTAGTGGTAGTGGTAATGGTGGTGATAGTAATAATTAGTGATGGTGGTTATGATGATGGTGATGATGATCATGGCAATAGTGGTGACGTTGGTGATGGTGATAATAGTGGTGGTGGTGATAGTGATGATGGTGATGATCCTACTCTTCTTCTTCTTTCTTCTTCTTCCCTCTCTCGTTTCCTCCTCCTTCATTTCCTCCTATTTCTTCATTTCTTTATCCTTCTCATTTTTCTACTTTTCTCCTCCTCCTGCTTCCCATATACTATTTCACCTCCTCTTTTCCTCCCCCACTCTATTCCCCATTCCACCATTTCCACTACTGTTATTCATCCTTCCCTTTCTTCCCCCTCCACCTACTCCTCCTGCTCTTCCTCTTCTCTTTCTTCCTCCCCTTTCCTTCCCCCTCCACCGTGTCTTCCTCCACAACACAACACAACACAACACAACACAACACACCCACTTACCCTCAACAGAATTTCAGAGAGGTCACCAGGCTTGAGTACGGCCTTGCCTGAAGCCACCTGCTCACCGTTGTGTACCAGGGCAGCTCTGACGGTCAGGACTTGAGCTGGCCTGATAGCCTCTACAACTATCCTGTACACTGACCCAGGTACCACTAATTCTTGCCGGCCACCACTGTACATTTCTGTAAACAGAGACAATATCGTTAGGGGTTGTAGGTAGTAGTAGTAATAATAGTAAAAGTAATAGTAATAATAGTAGTTATAATAGTAAAGATGTGTTATTCAACTAGTGACCAAGTCCCAGGTTATTGATCTGACTTTCTGCCCTTATTTACACACAATTGCAGGGTCTCAATTGTCTCTCTTACTCTGACAACACGACATATATATCGTTTCTCATTCTTGGTCTGTTTTATTATTTCCATTTCTGTATTTATTTATGGTTCAATTTATTATTTTATTTTAACCTCCTGCTCGTATATCCCCAAACTAAGCTACACATACCCAAAAGAGGCCACATTAAGCTACACATACCCAAAAGAGGCCAAACTAAGCTACACGCACCTAAAAGAGGCCAACTAAACTACATACCCCAAGGCACACACAAAACGCCAAAGTAAGCCACACACCTAAAAAAGGCCAAACTGAACTCCACATACCTATAAATTATCCCCCAACCAGTTATAACCGGAAGTCACGTGGACAACACACTCACTACCACCATCACCCGGAAGAAACGCATTCATTACCCACAATAGATGACAATAATGCACCTACAGGAGGTAATTACACCAACACTGATTATTATTTCACGACAAATAATTCCGGTTTATGTACAAGAGGTCACACACATTATATTTATTATATTTGTATAAGTAATATGTCGTTTGTTATCATTACAATAGGATTTAATTAATGTTGGTTCAGTTTTCAGTGTTGGATGATATTTACTTTGAGTTTTTTATTTTTATTTTTTTTAATATAATTTATCCGCTGTGTGAATGTGATCTAGTAAATGGAGTTGAATGAACCAGAAGTTGAAGCAAAACAACAGATATCAATAATGAATCACCAAACTGGACTAAAACATTAATAAATAAACAAGAAATTTAACTAAAACAATAAACACACTATTTATTTATTTATCTATTAATTTATTAATTTATGAATTATTTATTTGTTTTTTGTTAAGGCATACCTAACTTCCTCATCTATTCCTCGTTTCTATGATCGCCTGAATGAAGGGCAGATCTGATATTATTCACCCTGGTGGATGAGGTTAAAAAAAAGTTACAATTAATAACTCAGGGTGATGGACGGCTATAGGAACAATGATCATGTTTATAACCCCTCTCAACCCTCAACACACACACATACACACACACTTCTAAAACACCAGCGCCTAACCACAAATCTCCTATATATGAAAAATAAATAAAAAAATAAAGTTTCTCCGTTAGAAAATATTCACAAAAGCATACTTTCATTTCTGTGGTTTATGACCTTCCCGAGAGAGTGAAAACTGACCCCAAGAACAGGTATAATTATGGTAAGCAAAAAAATAGAGGCCCCTTCGATTATCTGGTTGACGGCACATATGGTTAGATTGTTAAAATCTTCTCTTACAACACCCTCCTGCAGTAGTCAGCCAGCCAGCCACACCTCTTCGACTTTCTAAATAGGGTGGTGGAGGGAAGTAGATGACCTTGTATATACCTATTACACCATACAATACCCTGCAATTGCTAGCCAGCCAGTTACTCAACCAGCCAGCCAACCAGCCAGCCACACCTCAACTTTCTAATAGGGTAATGGGGGGAAATAAATGACCTTGTATACACCTCTTACACCAATTACCCACAAATAGGGATACAAAAAAAAATCTCCATTCATCCCTCATCTTAAAAATTAATCTAACCTAAGAGTTGATTAGTATCTTTAATTTGAACCTAATCTAAGTTCACCAAACCCGTAAAGAGAATTTGGGTCCGTTTCTGGGTACAATCCGGTGTCAGATGGAAGAGGGGGAGGGAAGGGAGGAGAGGAGTGACAGGTGGTATGGGGGTGAGGAGGGGAAGGAGGATGGGAAGAGAGGAGGGGAAGGGGTGAGGAGGAAGGGAGAGAGGAAGTGAGGATGGGAAGGGGGGGGGTGAGGATGGGAAGGGGGTGAGGATGGGAAGGGAGGAAGGAGGGGTGAGGAAAGGGGTGAGGAGGGGAAGGGAGAGGAGGGAAGGAGGGAGGACGGAAGGGGGGTGAGGATGGGAAGGGGGGTGAGGATGGGGAGGGGTGAGAAGGGAAGTGGGGGAGGTGAGGATGGGAAGGGGGGGAGGACGGGAAGGAGAGGAGAGGGAAGGGGTAGAGGGAGAGGAGGAGGTCAGGGAAAACAAAATCATCCTCTTGTGTCCTCCTGCAGACCTTCCCGAATGATCCTGTATTAGTGTAACAGACTCTGGGGTGGACACACACACACACACACACACACACACACACACACACACACACACACACACACACACACACACACACACACCAAAAAAAAACAAGCGTTACTCCCCACTCCTCCACGCCTATCTAGTTCCGGCCACATATATGTTATTATACGACACCAACACACACACACACATACACACACACACACACACACACACACACACACACACACACACACACACACACAGGAAAAACAATAACACTATAGTCGAGTCTCAGATAAATATAGCGGCCATGATATACTATAGAGTCGATCGGCTATAGGACACCTGCAGATCGACACCTAGAATTCGACACCCTAAGTTCGACACCAGATCAAGCCTTTACTCCTGTGGCCCTTCACTAGCCCCCCCACCCACCTGACCCACCTATCATTCCTCCACCAATACTCCACCCAACACCCCCGTCCCACCCTCTCAATCTTCTCTCACCATTTCATCCTCTCACTCCCCCATCCTCCCCACTTCCCCACCATCCTCCACCACCCTCATTCTTTCCTTATCCCACACCACACACAGACACTTCCCTCACCTACACCTCCACACCACACACACACACACACTTCCCTCACACTACACCTCCCGCACCACACACACACACACACACTTCCCTCACTACCTCCCCACACCACACACACACACTTCCTCACACTACCACACCACACACACACACACACACTCACACACTACACCTCCCCCACACACACACTACCCTCACACTACACTCCGCACACACTACCCTCACACTACACCCACAGCCCTTCCCTACCCACCTCTCCATCGCCCCAGGGTAGGGGGGTGATGGCGGACCTATATTCCTACTATTTCTTTTTTCTCACATCACACTGACTTAACATTTCTCAGAAGGGCGGTACACCTTGATCTATTGTCCAGGTACAAGACAAACACTAGTACCAGGTAAGTTCAGTACCTGGTATTATTACATTCTGGTATCAGGTGTGCGTTTGTGTGTGTGTGTGTGACTGTGTATATTTGTGTGTGTGTGGGTGGGGGAAATGATGTGCATGACCCTCCACCACAATGCACACGATATTGGCCCCAATCACCAACACAAGTAAGGGGATAGGAAGGTGTTAAGCCACAATGACGCTGTGAGAGAGAATTTCACCAAGGTGGCCTAAAGGAGGAGGAGACGGACTACCCACCTACTTACCTGTGTGGTGTGGGTGTAAAAGGTGGGGAGGTGTTAGAAGGTGTTGGGGTGTTGAGAGTGTGTTGAGGTGTAGGAAGCAGGGAGGGTGTTTGGATGGGTTGGGAGATGTGTATGTGTGTTGTGGTGTAGGAAGCAGGGGAGGTGGGGAGAGTGTGAGAAGTGTATGTGTGTGGGTGTAGGAAGCAGGGGAGGTGTTGGGGGTGGGTTGGGGAGGTGTATGTATGTGTGTTGTGGGTGTAGGAAGCAGGGAGGGTGTTGGGGGTGGGTTGGGGGTGTGTATGTGTGTGTGGGTGCAGGAGGTGTTGTGGGTGTGTTGGGGAGGTGTATGTATGTGTGTTGGGTGTGAGGAAGAGGTGTTGGGGGTGTGTTGGGATGTATGTATGTGTGTTGAGGGTGTAGGAAGCAGGGGAGGTGTTGGGGGTGTAGGAAGGAATGGAAGGGAGGTGTACTGGGTAGCTAAGAGGCTGTATGTGGAAGGGTGTAAGTATGTGTTGGGGATGTGTTGGGGATGTGTTGGGGATGTGTCTGGTGGGAAGTGGGGAAGATAAGATAAAGGGAGAAGGAAAATGAAAATAACTAAAACAAAAACCAAAAAATAAATAAATATAAATAAACACCAAAAAAAAAAATATTAAACAAAGAAAAAAATAGCAAAAAATATCCCAAACGTAAGAAAATGAGAAGAAATAAAATCCCTCACGTACTTAATATAAATAAGTACATAAAACAAGTACAGTACCCCCACCTGTCATGTGGTCTTGTTCGTGGTGTTAAAATGGCGGCCAAAACGCTCTGAGCCTTGAGCAATATTTATAACTGTGAATAACGGAAGACAACACACGGTATGATGATGATTGGTGATGATGATGATGATGATTGGTGATGATGATGATTGGTGATGATGATGATTGGTGATGATGATGATTGGTGATGATGATGATTGTGATGATGATGATTGGTGATGATGATGATGATTGGTGATGATGATGATTGGTGATGATGATGATGATTGGTAATGATGATGATTGGTGATGATGATGATGATTGGATGATGATGATTGGTGATGATGATGATTGGTGATGATGATGATGATTGATGATGATGATGTTGATTGTGATGATGATGATTGGTGATGATGATGATGATTGTGATGATGATGAGTGATGATGATGATTGGTGATGATGATGATGATTGGTATGATGATGATTGGTGATGATGATGATGATTGGTGATGATGATGATTTGATGATGATGATTGGTGATGATGATGATGATTGGTGATGATGATGTTGATTGGTGATGATGATGATTGGTGATGATGATGATTGGTGATGATGATGATGATTGGTAATGATGATGAGAGATGATGATGATTGGTGATGATGATGATGATTGGTGATGATGATGATTGGTGATGATGATGATTGGTGATGATGATGATTGGTGATGATGATGATTGGTGATGATGATGATGATTGGTGATGATGATGATTGGTGATGATGATGATTGGTGATGA